GAATGGACCTCAACAGATGGGAAATTTTGACATCTGAGTGTTCAACCTGGAGGCAAGTGATGCATCATGGCCTCTCCCATTTTGAAGAGACCCCTGTCCAGCAGGCCAAGGCAAAGAGGCAGTCTCGAAAACAGAAAAATCAGGAAGCTGGACAGGGGACAGATTGAATTTGTCTTCAGTGTGGAAGGGATTGTCACTCTCAAATTGGCCTCCTCAGCTACACTAGACGCTGTTCCAAGTCAGAGCACGTTATCATAGTCTCTTGAGACTGAAGGATGCCTAATCTAAAGTGCTCATGAGTAGAACAAACAGAAATGATATTTCCCCATCCTTAAAAAAAGAATAACTAATTAATTAAATAAAATTAATTTTAAAAGGAACAGAGCAAGGAAAGTGTAAAAGTACAGTATTTGCATAACTCATCCACAGTCAATGTGTGGACAGCAAGCTGAATAAACACATGACGCATGATGACCTTTTTTTCCATTATGGCAAGATACATCGTCTTTCTATTTAAATTACAGCAATTCGATCTCAAATGGTACTTATAAATATGCACATGCATTTTTATGCAGGTCAATGTCTTCCTTTTTGTTGGTATACTTTGTTTTGTTTTGTTTTTCCTGGGGTGGGGAACGCTTAACTGGCCTTAACAGATTCAGGCTACGGAAACACAGTCTGCATCTTTATTATGCAAGCAACAAATTTCACTATTGAAATATATTTTATATATTTCTTTCTCATCAATTTGATATAACTGTTAGAACACCTTCTTACAAAGGTAGGGTGGGTAAAAATCAATGATTTTTTTAAAAAAATCAAATTGATTTAAATCGCAATTGAAATCATGATTTCTATTTTAAAAATCAATTTTTTATTTAAATCATCCAAAAAATATGATTTTTAAATCTCAATCTTGATTTAATTCAGATCTACCCTGTCCAAATTTACCATAAATAGCTACCATCTCCAATGTAAAAACAAAACACCTATTCAAGCTGCTTAAAAAAATAAAAAACTACTTGCTTCCAACTACAATGTGTGTCCAGCACAGTATTTTTTATAAGGCTGGAACATTCCAATGCTATGATTTTATATAGGGGTATTTGGGCTTTTTAAAAAAGCCATCTAATTTTTTTCTGCCTATTAGTGGTGAAGTGTCTCCACATTCTTTCAAGTGACAGGACATCCAAAGCAGACAACAGACATATTGCAGGGAAGTAGCTTCATATGAATTACTGTACGTTCAGAAGCAGCCAAGATGTTTGACATGTAAGAATACAATACAATACAGCGTATGATCTATTTGTACATAACACATGTAACATACACTTGTCATGAATTAAGATCAGCTACAAATGCCTCTGAAATATATCCTGCAGTGACAGTTGGTGTCCTGGCTGGGGGGAAAAAGAAGATGATGTGTACAAGGAGGGTGCTGACACTAGGAGCCTGATCATTCCCATTTCACACCTGCTTATACCCAAGGGGGGGGCAAGAAACTGCAATCAAACACAACTTTCCATTATGTCTGGAGCAAAACCTCAAAGTATGTTTCCTGACTCCCAACAAAACAGGATCAGATGCCAGATTTAAGCAGGTTTTGAAGCTGGCTTCCAAACACTGGCTTATTTGGAAGCAATTAACCACAGTACTATAAGGGACGTGGTGGTGCCACGGGTTAAACCGCAGAAGCCTCTGTGCTGCAAGGTCAGAGACCAGCAGTTGTAAGATCAAATCCACATAACGGAGTGAGCTCCCATCGCTTGTCCCAGCTCCTGCCAACCTAGCAGTTCGAAAGCATGTAAAATGTGAGTAGATAAATAGGTACCACCTCGGTGGGAAGGTAACGGTGTTCTGTGTCTAGTCGTGCTGGCCATGTGACCATGGAAACTGTCTTTGGAGAAATGCTGGCTCTATGGCTTGGAAATGGGGATGAGCACTGTGCCCTAGAGTCGGACACGACTGGACTAAATGTCAAGGGGAACCTTTACCTTTACCTAACCACAGTACTTGGCTTAGATGTAATCTTTGCTTAATTGTGATTTGTTTACATATCCTTTCATGCAATGGTTGGTGTAATCAAGTTCTATGCCCTAAACGCATTATCATGCACATCACCATTTCAATAAGTAAGCCTTCATGGGCTTACTATGACAGGTGAATAACACTAATAGTAAATCCAGGCTTGCTGCAGCACCACTGGTGAAATGATCCTGAATATTGTAGAGAAAAGGGGAGAAAAACAACCCCAAGAGTGGTACTTTCATACAAGTAACACCATCAGTAAACAACCTACCCCCCCCACACACACACACGGCACAATATATATGCAAATCCAGGATTATCCCACACACACACACACACACACACAGATGGCACAATATATATGCAAAACCAGGATTATCCACCTTCCACATGTACAGTCTTAAATTAAGAATTTCAGGTGGCACATGGACAGCATGCCAAAATGGCTGAAATTACACTTGCTTTGCATAGGTCCACCCACAACTTGCAATGATACACCACATGGCCATCACTGAAAACAAAATGGCTGCCCACAACATTCTGTGGAGAAATGCCCTTTCCCAAGAGCCAGTCTTTCTCTTGCTACTCTAAATCAGAGAGCAACATTTTTGTAAATGAGCAGACGTAAGTATTTTTTAAAGGGGCAAACAGTGATTTCAGAGAAGGGTTAGGACAGCTACTAAAAAAAAATGACCCAAGGAAGGCATCAAACTCTCCCCAGGATAATAGGCCAGATCTGCATCCCCTTTCCTCCCAGCTGTTGTTCATGAAAATATAAAGCGTTGATCTCTCGTTTCCCTGATTTGTCCTTATTTGACTCTTGCCTATCACCATTAATGATGTCACTCTAGCTGAACAACAGAGAAGCTGGCACTCACACTTAGAAGAGAAATAAATGCACATAAAGGATGGGAAATCCATTTTAGCATGTTGACCTGAAGACACAGTGCACTGGTAAAGCTGGCAAAGAGGTTCCGAACTGGAACCTAGGCAGCCCTGGTTCAAGAAACAAACCATGGAAAAGATGTATCCAACTCTTCTTGGCCAATTTCTTTAATCAAAGGAAATTCCAGATTCACTCAGGTCCAGCAGTAAATAAGAGATAAAGTTAGGCTTCTGTTGCGTTTTTGAAAAGTACACCACTATTAAAGGAACGGCGTTCAAGTGACTTATAAATGAACAGCATGCTTTTTGCAACAGTTGAAAAAGAGAGGGCTGAGGGACGAAATGCTCAATGATTACATTTTCTGATAAACATTAAAGTTCAACATTCTTTGTAAGAAAAGTATGACTTATTTAAGCCAACTCCCTGCTGGGTCAATTATCTCCAGCCTTAATTCATATATATTTGATGCTCACAAAGTGATGTTCCCTAATGCATCCCACAGGCAACTGCTCTTTGGGTTTAGCTTTCCCATGATGAAGAACTAATAGACCTGGGGACTCATAAAAGAAGGTGAAATCACATTGGTTTTGCATCAGACCTGCTTGATCACAATAATCCTTGATTACACATTGAGTGCATTTGTCAGAAGAAACTATTGCCAAGATAAGATCCTGTTCACAAAACCCAAAAGTACATGACTCTCTTAAAGTTATCTTTCTCCGTGTTTATATGCACGCACATACACATAGACACGTTCTGCATGGGGATGTCTGGTTATGCTCAGAAGAATGCCACTGACATACCAGGTATGTTGACAAGTCAGATACTTAGGTATGTGACTAAAAAGACCTCATGGCATTTTAGGCCTGTTGAATAGATTGTACACCCAAAGTATTGTCATTTATTTAAAAAGCCTAAAGTGTAGGTAAGATGCGTTTCGGTTCTACAGCTACCAAGAAAATGGCCCTCTTGTGATCTGTGGCCTGCATATTAGCAAGTCCCACTCTAGATACTTATATTCCTGTGTTAAACAGTTATGTGCTGTTTAACACACTGAGTGACAAATGCACTCAACGTGTAATCAAGGATTATTGTGATCAAGCAGATCTGATGAAAAGAGTTTTTTAGGCCAGGCAACAACCGGGAACTCCTTGAAGCACAAGCTGATGAGGTACAGGACCGAAGACTGTATAAATTGACTCACTAACACCATAGATACAAATCACCTTGGTAATAATCTCTGATTGTCAATCCCCTATCTTTGCCTTTACATCACACCTCCAAAGTCCATCACCCTTCCTCAGCCTTGGCAATTTCGTTTGCATCTGTATTCAGCCTTTACCACTTCCTATCTTGGCATATATTTCTTCTCCTGTGGCAAAGGTTACACTGAGAGAATAAAGGAGAAAAGGTCCACTGGTAAGCATAACATTCTAACCAGTACACCACACTGTCTCTTAATGGAGAAAGCCATGCACATTGTCCACCAGTCTTACATCGTGTTGATTATCCTTGACTGACTTAGACCTTTGTGAGACTTAAATGCTTGTGGATTTTATACCACCAAGGCTTGATTTCAGGAACAAGCTGGCATCTATTCTTCGCTGTATCTGAAAATACAGGCTATACTGCACAGCTCTAAAAAGCTTCCTACTCCATTATGTAATTTTTAAGACAAATCACTGCCAAAAGAACCAAGAGCACACTTTCACTCTTTGTTTCTTAAACTTTTGCACACTGTAGCGTGTCTGAGAGAAATCAAATTAAAGGCAAAGTGAAAGGTGTACCGAGACGTCAGTCTTAAGAGAGATCTGGGGACTCGCAAAAAGTAGAGGTACCTTTAAGAGGAAGGTTCTTTTTCTAATTCCAGATCACAGTACAATTTATATTAAAAGAGACCTTTCCTTTCCTATGAAAATAGAGGAAACACCTTATAAAATAAAGTCATTTCCTGCCTGTTTGTGGGCAGAAAGCGGAGGTCTTGACAGCTCTACGCTATCAGCTGCTCCATATTTGCTTGGAAATAAGTAGAAAGCAACAATATGATGTTTAGCACGTAAGATTAGAAGTTCGGAAGACTACTAACCTTGCGCCCCGGCAGAGTGAGCTGCCCCATTGTTATGTTTCTTTTCTTCTTCTTCTTCCAATAATTAACTCTCCTTCTGTGTTAAATTAAACGTCCACGCCAAAGCTCATAAGGATAACAGTAAGCACAGAGGGACTCTTCATATGCCGGAAAAGCAGTGTCTTAACTAAGTGCTTCAGCTCATATATCTCAGAGCTGATTCCAGAGAGGCAGTTTAAGGGAAAATCCAGCCCACAACAGCCTTCAGCCTATGAAGTTCCTAATGGCGTGGAAACCCCTCCCTCTGTGTCAAGCCCAGTGTTTGAAGAGGGAATAGAGGAAACAGCCACAGACAGAACGAGCGTATTATCCCTTCCCCATTTTGGTACTGTGCACTTTCTCCTCTAACAGCCACAGAGTGAAAAATGAAAAGGTGTGGGGGGGAAAAGCCCCCCTTCTCCTTTATTCCAAGTGTAATTTTTAATTGCATTTGGTACTCAGTATACGAGCAGCAAATGCAATACTTTAATTGCATTCGCTGCTCCTAGCCCTCAACAAGCCACCAAAACAATCACTCTTTCATGTCACTCTTACGAGGATCATGCAGAGCACAAAACCACTTTCATTCTGTTATGCACATAAAATTTGGCCACAAGTGTCAGCATGTGAAGTAGGAAATGCTACTACTCTGCTCAAGGCAAGCGTTCTTCAATTTCATCTCTATTTAGAAGGAAGTTTTCTGGGGAAGAGAAGCTTACACAGAATCATTTCTCACTGTAGAGACAGAGGAAGCTGTCAGTTTCACCTCCTGAATGTGAATTTTCTAAACATCACCTTCTTCTGAATACTGACTTTGGGTTGCTTTTGACTTAAAGGACAAGCCAAACCAAAATTCCCACCCACCTGCACTGCCAAATTCAACAGACAGAACAATCCCAGCATGGAGGGGACCATCTTGTACCTGCCTGGCATGAAGGTATCCAAGATAAAGAACCAGAGGGAGGAGATTCAGCACTAATACGCAAGGAGTCATACCCAGACGCTTTACGAATTAAGCACTCAAAGTTCTGCACCTGGATAAACAAATGAGCCAGTTCCAGTGTCTGCCTCATATGATTTTTCCAGCACCAAACAGAAAAGTCAGACAGACAATAATAGTCACGACGGTTAGCACTGTTGGAGCAAATGTTTCTGGTTCTTAATCCTCATCGTTGTTGTCATCATATGCCATCAAGTCATATCATTTTAATGGTGAAAATTTTTCAAGAGTTTCCAGGCAGAGAATACTCAGAAGTGGTTTATGCTTCTCTTCTTCTGGGGACACCCTGGGACTGTGCAGCTGGTCCAAGGCCACACAGGCTGGCTCCACTCCTAGGAGCCACAGTGGGGAATTGAACTCCCAACATCTGGCTCATACCTAAACCACTAAGCTATCCTACCAATTTAATAACTTTGTCCCATCAAATCAATTCAGGGTTTTTCAGGGACAGAATGTATTCAGAAGTGATTTACCACTCCCTTCTTCTGGGGGCACCCTGGGACTGTGTAGTTTGCCCAAGGCTACACAGGCTAGCTCTGCTTGAAGAAGGCACAATGGGGAATCGAACTTCCAACCTCTAGTTTTCCAGCCAAGTATCTAAACCGCTGAGCTGCTATCCAGCCAGTTCATCTGATCATTACATTCTGATCCTTAAATTTCCTGATCTAAGATGAACAAGGCACCTATTGCCCATTTCCTCCCTTGGAAGCCACCTATCTGATCAACGAAAGGAAACTGGGTAAAGAGGTGGGTGATGGCTGTGTTACCTTTTGTTGCACTGAGAGATATAAAAACATTACCGCCTTCTCCAGCTTTACATCTAGCAAACCTAAGGCTTCCAGAATGCAGATTATGTGGCAAAAGCATAGATACTGGTTGCAATTTGTGGCCTCATGAGATTTTGTTGTTTGTCCACTCGGTGCATTTGTATAAATTAAATAAATAAATAAAATAAATAAATTTGTGGCCTCATGAGATTTTTGTTGTTTGTTCACTCGGTGCATTTTAATCACACCTTTCCTACCACGAGCAGAAGGAAACACACGTGGCCCTCTCCCTCCCCACTTTATCCTGACAATAACCCCACAAGGATGGGAAAGCTGAGAGGAAATGACTTGACCTAGCCCATGGACATATGGTGAATTTCAGGACCTTGTGGGGACTAGCATGATGCTTATTGCCAAACATTACTGCTATATCTAAAAGCACACTACCATTCAGCACCCCTCATCCTGGTTTTCCCGTGTATAAAATTGCTTCTTTATTAACACTACAAGCATAATTCCACCAGCGCTGCAGCTATCCGCTAATTCAACATCATGCATGCATCTTTCACTAAAGCAAGGAGCTATTTTTGTAGGTGCCGTCAATGGAGGACAATGTGCACTGCACCCATGTTCCCCAGGATAGAATGAATCTGTTTCAGTGAAAAACAAAAACAGGGAAACGGTCTCAAAAAAAAACACAAAACCCACTGGAAAAAACAGTTAAAGGCGCTGTTTGTATCATTTACAAAGCATGCTGAAAAATGAGAGTGCTTCAGAGTACAGGCTACAAAACAGCAAATACTGCAAACCTTCAAAGATTGCAAGACAAATTGCTCTTTGATAAATGTGGTTTTGCACAATAACAGGAATTATAGTGGCTGCTATCCTAGACATGCTTGTTTGTCTCTCTGTCTCTCTCTCTCTCTCTCTCTCTCTCTCTCTCTCTCTCTCTGTGTGTGTGTGTGTGTGTGTGTGTGTGTGTGTGTACGCATGCACGGACATCCACCATCAAATAAATTCTGACTTACAATGACCCATTTCAGTGTTTTCTAGGGAAAGCGTACTCAAAGGTGGTTTACCATTCCCTTCTTCTGGGGCCACCCAGGGACTGTGCAGTTTGTTCAAGGCCACAGAGGCAGGCTATTCTCCAAGGAGGCACGATGGGGAATAGAAATCCCAACATCTGGCTCCACAGCCAGACACCCAACTCACTGAGCTAACCATCCAGCTTTTGTTACAAACCCTACCGGGTGAATCTTTAAAGTCTTGATAACAATTACATGCCAGAAAGTTGGTTCCAACCTACGGTGACGCTTTTCAAGGTTTTCTAAGTACCAGAAATGGTTTGCCAGTGCTTTCTTTTGGATAATCTAGCACCGTGTACAGTAGTTTGCCCAAGGCTATGTGGCTGACCCTTTTCCTGAGAGGAGCAGCAGGCAAACTGAATTCCCAACCTCTGGCTCTGCGGCCAGGTACCCAAGTCACAGACCTACAACTGCCAACGAACATCACCACAGGCTAGGCTGTCTGCTTAGTATATAAGAAACAAATGGTCTCCTCTTTTCCTTTCTCTTTTCCCCAGATAACTGAATACAATCTAGAATATTCCAAGGATCTCCCGCACTCCCACCATTGTAACAAAGACAGCCAAGGTGACAATGGGGGGCGTTTAACAAGACAAACGTGTTAGGATTTGAATCCCAGGTCGTGAGCACAGTTTTGGCTGCAGTACAGCGGTTTAACCACTGCGCCACGAGGCCAACGACAGCCAACGTGACAATGGGGGGCGTTTAACCAGACAAACATGTTGCTACTTGTATCCTCAAAGGAATAAAATCCTCTGGGGTAAGAATAAAGTTTAAAAGGATAGTATTATGGTGGTCCACATTTACTTCACAATTTTATGTGACAGAGAACATCAAAAACCCAGTGTCCAGAGGCTCTAAGCCATGTTGCCAACTGAGGTCATACAAAAGTTCCTTCCCACAGAAATCTTAAGTTAGTGCCATAAATTGCTGGCTAGTTTCTCAAAACTATAGGGCAACTCAAGGGCAGATTCCTGTAGCAAAGCTGTTCGCTGTATGAGGAGGTGGAGGAGAGGGGCTCCGTTTGGGGTAGCATTTAGAAAGGATAGTAGCAAGACTATCCTTGTTCCTTTCTTCCCACTGGATATTTTTCCTTAGGAGTGATCATATTTTCAATGTCACCGACCCATTAGTTTTACACAAGGTGAAATTACATGTCCTGTAATTTGAAAAAAAGAAAAAGAAAAAAAAGATCTGTAATTTCTTTTGGGAGCGTTTTTTTTCCTTTCACAGACTTTCGAAGTGAACTGTGAAAACGGAAGTTCAAATCTGTGAACTCACTAGACTAGATGATGTTAAGACCAGCTATCTTTCACTCTCAGCCCTGCTTGCACAATCCTTTCCTCTCCTACACTGTGTTTAATAAACATGAGAGGTTAGAAAAAGTTCAGGAGCACTTGGGGTTGAGCTGGCATGTGTGACCTTCTCCCTCTTACCTGTGATAGTTTATTTTACTCTGGTGTAATGCCTGAAGACCAGTCTTTTCTGTAAACATGAATAAAATATCTGCATACACAGTTTTCTGTATATACAACTAATCATGTAAGAACACAAACGAAAGGAATCACACACACACACAAACAATGCTGCAAATTGGTTTCCTGTCAGTTTAACCACCATGGATTTGGGGAACTGCAATTTGATTAACGTGCTGAGGATTTTGCCAGGGGTCCCTGCAGTTCTCTATCATCACAGAACTTTAATGACAAAGATTTCACTCTTAAACTATTTTACAATCAGTTCTACATGGCCAGCCCAATGAGGAGGAAAAATCCTGAAATGGTGGATTGGATTGTATACCTTGTATTAGAAGGAGTCCCTTTTGTTTTGTTTTGTTTTGTTTTTGTTTTTTAATCCTCACATAAAAACAGTGCTATGTTCCACACACCCTGTTTCAGGGCCCTCCGATATGTGGAGAATGATGTGTGACAGTTCTGCCATCTTTGGACATTCTCCAAAAATCAGGACCTAATTTTGCACGGTAGTGACTCACAAGGATTGCTCTTCAGGAATTTTGGGAGACCCTGTACGCAGTAGAAAATGCATTATACAGTGGTGCCTCGCATAGCGATCGCTCCGTATAGCGACGAAATCGCTTTGCGATGGAATTTTTGCCATCGCAAAAGCAATCGCTTTGCGATCATCCCTATGGGGTATTTTCGCTTTGTGATGACCACAGGGAAGCAATCATCGCAAAGCCCCCATTTTCGGCCAGCAGATCGGCAGTTTCAAAATAGCCGCTGGGTAAACAAAATGGCCGCCCGCTGCTTTCAGGCACGGATCTCTCGCTTTAGAGGCACCATTTTAATGTGTTTCTATGGGCTTTTTATTTTCACTTA